CTAGAAGGTGAAGCAAGATGGAACTAATAGCAGCCCACAGATTTCATCTGGCTAAAGATACAATCCATCTCACTGGAATGACAGAAAGCAGGACAAAGGCAATACAAACCCCAGCACTCAAGTATCTCTTACTGCCTAGACACAGCTAGATGTAAAGATGATGACAGGGTTAGTCTAGAAGCACATGTGCAGCCAGGCATCTAGAGGAGGGAGTTCCTGCCATCTCCGTATGAATCACAAGCAGGGTTTCAAAACTGGAATCTGGTCTCCATCACTGAGGAGCATGGATTTAATTAGCTCTTTCCATCACTGTGAAAGACATGAATGAATTCTAGTAACATTTTATGCTCTTAACTATTCTGTTGATGAATCCAAAATACACGCAATTACAGATCTAAACATAGTCCCTTACAGTTCACAGAAATCAACTCAACTAAGCAACTCAGGAAGAGAGGGAGGAAAAGAAAATACACAAAAACCTGAATCCACTTAGTGACCTGACTTCACTTCTGTATGGTAGTACTATTTTAGTTTGAAACAAAGCTTTTCTCAAGAAGTTCCATAACTTTTTTATGAATAGTTGCATTCATACATAGTCTAGTTTGTGAAAGCCAAGTAAAAATTAAGCAAAAAATTATTGACTTATCAAATTTCTTCATCTCATATCATCTCTAAAAGGTACTGTCCAACAAATCATTTTGTAACTAAAGTGAGATGTCTGGTTTGATTTAAAACTTGAAATGTACTTAAAAGTGAAAGATGAGCAAAAGCCAAAGAAAAGAGCCATTTGTTTAATCACGCAGAAATAGTGCATCAGTGTCCCGCCCCTTATCTGAAGGGAGCACATTCAACGCCACGGGATACTCCGTTCTCCCTTTCCAGCCTCACTTTTTGCTGAGACTGACAGCAAACATGTCAACTCTGTGAACATTGTTGGGAATGTGGAGCTTTATTCCCCTTCAGAATGAAGTGAGAAAACAAAATCCTTTCACTCTAACACATCAGGCAATGGCAATCACGTACTGACACAAACATGATCAGAACCAGAAGCAATCCTTTTTTCCGCATCCATAAGAACTTAATGCTTGCTCTAAGTTATATGATTTTTATTATTAAGCAAACTATTTTTTTCCTGACTAAACAGGCCTGGACTTTTAAAAGAGAGATGGAAAACATCATATCAAGCAGGAAGGTAAAGTGTAAATTAGGTGCAAAGTTACGTGAAATTTGAAGACTGGTACTGGATGTGAGATCTGTCAAAGGCAAATTCCCAAAATGCATACACTGTTCTTTAGAAAGACCCAGAACCAATCAGTGCCAAAGAAAGCAGCGTTTGGTAATAACTTCCAGCAATAAATATCAGCATGTTTTAAAGTTTGTTTTCACAGGTTTCTCTGTCTCAATATTGATTTTAGGAGAATGTTTTGATCAAATCCAAAATAGCAACACAAAAATAAGTGCTGAAATGGAGAGGGATAATCCTGTCCTTAATGCTGCTATTGAAATACATACTTTTGCACAGCCTAGAAGTGAGAATCCCACCAAGATTTCTACAGATGGCCTGAGTAGGAAAGACAGCAGACATGATCTCCCAAATACATAAAACGAGAAAGGGAAAATAAATCACCATCAGAAACATAAAATTAGTTAGACACAAAGTGCTGTCAAAAGCATAAGGCAAATAAATGGGGGGGGGAAGGAAAAAAATCCCCTCAACCTCCTTCGTATTTATGGCAGTAACAGGGATTACTTGTAACAACAGTGGATATTTTTAAAAATGGTAGTGTGTTTCAAGTTGCCAGCATGCTTTTAATTATGTTTAGAAAGTTAAAATCTATTGCATGAACTAGACAAATTAAGTCATTCAAAATCATAATGAAGTTGCTGATTCGTTAACATTTTTAAACCTGCAATTTACATGCTTAAATGCATTTTTAACAATACCCTTTTAATACTCAAAGTCCTTCACACTGGGAACTCCAATACACCGATTGATGTTACAGTTTATAGTATTTCAAAGAGCATATTTGGGTCTCTTGAGTTTATATTTTAACATTGTCAAAATACATATCCTCATAAGACAGAAGAAGAAATTCGAGCCTTGATGTACACTAAAACTGACCCAAACTGCCTGGAAACAAACAGGAAATCCACAGATTTTTAAGGCCAGAAGGGACCGCTGTGATTGCCAATCTAACTTCTGCACAAAGGAGCCTGTACGATTTCACCCCAAAAATCCTGCAGCAAGTGCTCTGAAACTGAATTACAGCTAAACATCCAGCACGGAAACATCCTTAATGTAAATCACCTAAATCAGGATTAAGACTTAAGATATGAAAACGGTCTCAATTTTCCTTTTGTAAACAGGTAGAACACATGAGCTTCACCAGTACATCAGGGTGACACGTTGACAGCACAGCAGGATGAATTATTAAGGATGTTACTCCTCCATACACGTTTCCACCTTTACTACACATAGTTGTAATCAATTATAATGAATGACAGGATGATCCATTAAAATATTTCAGTTTTGAAAATTCATTTCTACACTGCCGTGTGTCAAAATATAAACACAAAATCCCATTTGTTGTTTCTAGCATGAAAATAATTCTAGCAATCTGCATGTTTTATCATCATTTACATAGTAAATGTTAATTCATAACTAACGAAGGGTTATTCCTACAAGGAAAAGAACTCAAAGTCATATCAACTATATCCTCATTTCTGTTGTGTAATATTCACTTTCTGCTCCTTCCCCCATATTTTGTATCATCAGATCCAGGGATATATCAGAGCACGCATCTGGATAGATGAGCTGAATAAAAAAAGGTTCACATACCATTTATTCTATTAGCACATAAAAAAACTTTAAATCAGTGTCCTATTTGCAAGCAAACTGATATAACCAAAGGTATACAAGTGTTTTCAGAGTAAGAATTTGCCTTCATATATTTCACAATTCTTGTCTGAACATGGAAATCACATTTTCCAAAGCTGCTGCTATTCTTGCAGCCATCACAAACTTGAGGTGAGAAGGGGCAAAACATAAGGTTCTTCGTCTTTCCTTAAATGCTGCCATACTACAGCCATAAAGACAGTAATTTTATATTGTATTAAAGAATGGAAATCCAAGTTAATTGAAATCACATTTGAAAAAACCCACACGTTTAAATCACCTTCAAAACACAACTCCTATAACTTTTATTTAAACTTGGCCTTGAAACTTGGTTGTTTATTTATCCTGCTACTGACACCTGAAGTTTATCTGCCAAACATGTAATGAATAATAATAGACTAAACTATGGTTTTAAAATTTATTGGCATTTGTAAGAGAGCCTTCTCACAAAATTAAATGCCAAGCTTTTCTCTTAGTGTCTGTTCAAAATCTCTGATGGCTGATCTTTAAAAAAAAAACTATTTGAGGCCAAATTTGACGTAAGTCTTAAAACATTGCATAAAATTACTTTTAAAAACTACTATTGTAAGAGCACAGATTTTTCTCCCATTTTCAGTGCAAGAGAAAAACGATTTCCATTCCCCATTAAAACATTTTTAATTTGAATTTGTAAGTACCGGAAATCAACAATCTAACACAATGGAGATGCAATATGAGATATGAAGCTTCATAGCCCACCTTTCTTCTTGACTGGCATTCTTCTTCCTACTTCTGAATCTGGTTGCAAGCACTTATTTACAGGTACTAACAAAGTACCACTGGAGCACTCTGCGAGGTCAAGAATTGGCTATCTACTGCAGAACACTTTTACAGTTCAGTAAGGAAAAGCAGCTTCAATCTTCATTTCTATGAATACTTGCTGTTCCCTTGTATTGGACTTCTGATGCTTCCCGCAAATAAGAAAAAAAAAAAGGGGGGGGGGGGAAAGAAGCTTTTTGATTCTTTTTTAAGAGATGTTTTCAATTTCTTTAAAATATATCTGAATCTATAAAAATACAAGGGCAAACGTTCCTTGGCAATATAAAACCTTATTATAACTCCTCTTCTGGCAGCAAAGTTTGAAAATTAAAAGATTTTATGCAATACAATTAAGGCACAGTCCATCTCTAGGCAGCTGTCTCAATACTCCACCTGTACATGCTCAAAAACATATCATTTGCAGGACAAAAATGCCCAAATAATCCAAATAAGGAGGAAGACAAAAACAATCCAAAGTGTCTCTTTAACTTCTTGAATTAATTTTGCTAGCTATGTATTAGATGACTACACAGGAGACTGAAAAGGTCCCTTTTTCCTCACCAGACAACAGCCTTCAAATATCACCCTCTTACCCAACAGAAGTCACTGGGCAGTCACTTTCATTTTTATTATCTGCAAGCCACCCAGCCTTACGGCTTTAATGTCCCTCTGATCCTCCCATGTATTAAAAGAGGATTGAAAACGAGGAAAGCAATCCCTTGACCTGGAATTATTAAAGTGACAGTGCTGCTCACTGGGCACTTGGGCAAAGCAGATTGCTTATACTGGAGCCATTTACTTCATGCCATTCCTTCCCTTGCACAGCAGCAGCGACCTCATGAAAGAGGAATAAGCAGAGTTAGAAGAAGAGCTTCACAAATGGTTCATTTTCAGAGACAATGAAGTATTAATGAAATAAAAAGCAAGCCATGAGATCAGTCCGGAGCTTCCCACTCAGAAGCGCAGCTGGTTGGCTTCAGTACGAGCCTCTCTCTCTCTCTCTCCCTTTTTCTGGAAAAAAAAAAACAAAAACAAAAAGAGAAACAGAAACGGGATGGATTTTCCTCATCTACCTCGTTAAGGAAATGTATGAAAAAGGCGAACAAGCTTCGAGCGCTTCCCTTCCCCGCGCGAATGAGGACCTGCGATGCACATGCCGGGGCTTTGCTTTGCATCGTCTGTGGGCGATGGGAACCGTGTTTGCGAAGGGGGCGGCTCTGCTTTGCTCTTTCATGTTCACAACCGGAATCTGTCCGTCCCCGCATCCCCAGGCAGGGGCGCCAGGGCTCTCCTCCCTCACCCCTCTCTACCCACCCCTCCTTCCTTCCCCCAGCTCTCCCGAACCCAAGGGGGACTGTGCTGCGTTCTGAGGCGGGACAGGGCACAGAGGCTGGCTGGGTCGGGGGAGAGTGGGATGGGGCACAGGTGAGCTGGAGGAGCCGGTTAAGGACGAGGACAATCCCCCCCAGGGTTGCCGAGAGACAAGGCGGGACGCAACTGCAGGATGAAGGAGGGGACGGCGGTGGGGTGGAGCGAGACGCAGCCGGGACGAGGGGCGCTCGGAACGGCGGGACGGGCAGGGAGCACAAAGGAGCCGGTGGCGAGGGAAGAGGGCGACGGGTGGGAGGGGTGCGGGGGCTGAGGGGGGCGGACGGGGAGAGGGCGCGGGCTGAGGGGAGGGGGTCAGCGGGTTACCCCGAGGACTGGGCCTCCCCCCGCCGCAGGGAGGGGGAGTCCCCGCGTCCCGGCCGCCGGTGCAGGGTCCGCGCTCAGCCCCGCCGCCATCGAGGAGCCGCCGCCATTCGCCAGCCCGGCAACCAGTGCCGCACCCCGCCCCCGGCCCGCGCCCAATCGGCCGCCGCCATGCTGGGCCGGCGGACAGCCGCCCAATTGGAAACGGCCTCTGAGGCCCATGGGTCATGTGAGCGGGCAAGATGGCGGCGCCCACGAGGAGGGCGTGAGGTAGGCGGAGCCATGTTGTGGGCGTCGGGAGCGGCCCGACGGGGGCGGCGGAGCCGGGTGTTCCCGGACAGCTCAAGGTCGGAGCTTGAGCTCGGCGGTGTGGCCAGGAGGGTAAGCGCTGTGCGGGGGCGGCGGCTGGTAAGGCTGGTGTTTGAAGGTCGGGGGTGAGGACTCTGTCCTGAGCCGGGGGCTTTGCGGGGCTTGGGGCCTCCAGCGGGGTGCGAAGATCAGGGAGAGATGCGTGTGCAAAACGTCTGCGAGAGTCAGGGAGCGGTGGGTGGTTATAGCTCCGTCTTACCCAAAGCACAGGTTTGGGACCCTCCTGAGACGGCCTGGAGTGATCCCGGTGAGATCCTGCCCGCTTGTCCTGCTTTCTCCGTTCCTGCATCCTGCCAAGCCCCAACCGGAACAGGCACAGTCCTATAGGCAGGACTTACGACTGAGCTTTCACGTCATAAAAGTAACTTAAGGTAAGTATGACTGGCAAAGGGGGTCTGGGAGAATTTCCTCTGGGGTTAAATATCTAGAAAACAAGCATTTGAATCGCTAAACACCAGGTTTAATCAAGAGTTTTTGGCGTGGGTTGACCTCAGCTGGTTGCCATGTAGCCACCAAGATGCTACGTCGCTCCCCCTCCTCAACACGACAAGGAGAAGGTATAAATAAAAGCTCATGGGTTGAGATAAGCAGAGGGTGATCACTCAACAATTATTATTACGGTCAAAATAGACTAAACATTGGGAAAATTTAGTATATTGTCAACCAAATCAGAGTAGGGTAATGAAAAATAAAGTCAGATCTTTAAAACACCTCCACCCCTCTTTTTGCTCCTGATTTTCTCTATCTCCTCCTCCTGAGCAATGTAGGAAGGTGGGGAATGGGGGTTGTTGTAGTCAGTTCATTACATGTTGTCTCTACCACTCCTTCCTCCTTGCACTCTCCCCCTTCTTCAGTGTGGGGTCTCTCCCACAGGAGTTCTCCACAAACTTCTCCAATGTGAGTCCTTCCCACAGGCTGCAGTTCTCTATGAAATGCTCCATTGTGGGACCCTTCCACAGGTGCAGTCCTTCAGAAACAGTCTGCTCCAGTGTGGGACCCTCAGAGGCTCACGTGTCCTGCCAGGAAACCTGTTCCAAAGTGGGCTCCTTTTTCCATGGGGCCATAGGTCCTGCCGGGAGCCTGCTCCATTGCAGCTACCCACAGAGTCACAGCCTCCTTCAGGCTCTGGCATGGGATCCCCGAGGGGCTGCAGGTGGATATCTGCTCCACTGTGGACCTCCATGGGCTGCAGGAGCACAGCTGCCCCACCTTTGTCTGCACCATGGGCTGCAGGGGAATCTCTGCTCCAGCACCTGGAGCAGCTCTGTCTCTCCTGCTCCACTGACCTTGGGTGTCTGCAGGGCTGTTTTGCTCACATTTTCTCACTCCTCTTTTCCAGCTGCTCCTACGCAGTAATTTTTACCCTTTCTTAGCTATGTTATCTCACAAACACTGCCACTTGTTGAAGTTAGGTTTAGACTTGACAAGTGGCGGGTCCATCTTGGAGCTGACTGGAACAGCTCTGCAAGACATGAGGGAAGCTTCTGGCATCTCAGAAGCCACCCCTGCAGCCCTCCAGCTACCAAAACCTTGACACACAAACCCAGTACAACTGATGTGGTATATAAATCTCTGGCTAAGGGTGCCAATAAAAAAAGTCCTTATGTGTGGAGTATAAAAGCAGAGTAGGTATTTTTCTCGTTTCTTTAAATCTTTACAAAGTATGAATTTATTTGGGATTTTTTTTCCTTTCACCTCTTTTTGACAGTTAAATCAATTTAAACCTGGAATATTGCCATGCAAAATAGGAAATACATTTGTGATTCATGGTAGCAAAGAGTCTAAATGTTTATTTGATTCATACTGGGGCTGTGTAACTTTGGGGTTTTTTTGGGTTTTTTTGTTTTGTTTGTTTTTTCCTTATGATCCAGGACTCCAGAATGACAGGAAGAGAGTTTCTTGAACTAGATTCTCCACAGCAAAGTCTATTTTTGGCAAGACTCAAGCAGATGGAAATCATACAAACGATGTTAAATGAGCTTCCTAAAACAGATCAGTAAGTGCTGGTAAAATAAATGAAGATAAGTGCATCAAACATTTTGAGTCTTTTGGAGGCTTTTCTTTTTCCTTACTCTCATATTACAAATTTTCTTTGCAGTTACAAAAATACTTAATTGTGAAGATGCTTGTTAGTGCCCAGAAGAGAGAACTTGTTTTATGTTTTTCCAATATGGTTAGTTCAGTGTTAGCTCTGGTCCTGTTCAACTGGTTTCTAGTGTGTGCTCTCCAATGCTTAGGGTTCTGGGATGGCTGATCAGCCTGGACTGGCTCTGAGCATTCACATAGTCCTATGCTAGAGCTAATACATTTTCTAGGAAATGAAATGGGATTCTGCTGGAGTCATCTTGTGTCCAGCAGGGCTGGCCTGGGGCCAGAACTTAGTGAGTGTCAACCTGCTGGTTTCTGCGTTTCATTCTGCACTGCTTCCCGTTTCAGGAAGGCAAGACTTGAGGTATCCAGGTGGTGGTGGAGGAGTCAGCTGGAGTCCTGCGGGCTCACCAGCAGGTTTCTGTGCAGCATAAAGTCAGCTAAATGAGTTCTGGGCCTCACAAATGACCTTTTTGTTTTGTGATACTCCATTGCACTGCAAAACATTACTGGACCTGAGCGGGTTCTGTTAGGAGCCATTTGCATGTGTGTATCAGCTTGGATAAATTCTGTATAAATAAGAGGAATTGGAAGCTTATTTTATTTATATATTTTTTAATAGGACTGAATTGCTGGCTAAACAAGCTGCTGGTAGTAACACAGGGCCTCTCCACACAGGTGAGAAAGCAAAGGGTGCAACTTTGCATAGGATCTGCTGCCCTCACATTCAACTTGAAACACTCAGACTTCCTCAGGAGAGCAGGGGAGGCAGATACCTCAGTGGTGATGTGGTAACGTCTGGATAGAAACTGTGGTACTTAAGGACTGACTTCTGGGCCTTGGAAAGAAGTAGCTGCCAGTCCTGGCAGGACTTTAGGCTTGTATATCCAGAGGGGAGGTCACTAATGGCTGGAAGGAAGGAGCAAACACTGCAGTCAGACTGAGAGAGTTCCTGTTCACTAAAGCACGTGTTGTTAACACTAGGGAGCTTGTATTTAAAGCAAACCAACCAAACCCCAAACCCCAAGGCTTCCATCCTCTCTTTCTTTCCTTCTGTGCAGTGTAGCAGTTCTGTACTTCAGCAGGCCTAAGCAGTTTCTGCTGGTCCTTTGGATACTTAAATATGCCGCTAAAATTTTAATCTCTGTCCTCCACATTTATGGATGTGCCCACCTGCGTTTCACTGCCTGTGACTGTAAACATCCCAAGAGAATGAAATGGCTTATTTGCAGCAAGTATTCCATGGACATTTTGAGAATTGGGAAAATGGGGATTTGAAAAGCAAATTTCTCTTTAAAACAAAGCACAAAAAAAAAAGAATAGTTCTTAAATAATGGTAAGAGAAGAGATCTGACCAGTAAAGTTCTTTTGCTCTCTCTATATAGCAGCAGAATTGAAACGTTAGTAGCTTATTTTCATCTTTGAAAATCTGGTATGTATTGGGAACTAAGGTATTTTCCTATACAAAATGAGAAATTGTTGGCGTCTTTGATGTCAAATGTTTTAAGTTTTGCACATCTCTGAAGTATTTTCTGTATGATTTTTTCAGTGCTTAAGGTTACTCTAAGCATTAAAATGAAGAATTTTAAGTAAACTGATTTTTATTTTTTTTTAAATTATGTATTTTAATTGCTAAATGGCTTAAAGATTGTCACTTCTGATAACTGCAAGTAACTATGACATTTGGCCTAGCATAAAGTTTGTGATCGGTTAAGTAATTTATTTTTTTCGGAGCTTTAGTGATAAATACAATTTTAAAAAGACACTTTTAACATAACGATATTGGTACAGCCTCAGAATCAGAGTGCCTTCCAGGTAATTGCTTTGCCTGGCAATAGTTGCCATTCTGTGAATTTTAGATTTGGGGAAACCTAAAGAAAAGAGTTGTTTCCACTAACAGATAGTGCCAGCTATAATGCTAAAGATAAAGCACAAATTTCCTTCTGTCAGTCAAATGAAGTTACATAAATTTGCTCATCAGGCCGGTAAAATTGGCATGCTTGCCTGTTCCCTCTCTTGTGTTACCTGCTGGGATGTGATGTACTCAAACAGGAACTGTTTGTTAAGATATTAAATGCTGCTGACTCTCTCTGACTGCTTTGTTCTATTCTGCCTTCACCCTATTAGGGTTTGCAACACGAGTAGTTGCTCTAAACCATATGTTAAAAATATCGTAGATAACAGAATTCAGTCCCTCTGTTATCAAGGGAGAAATAGAAGCTCCAGTTCTGTAAACCAGTACATTGGAGTTCTGTAGCCTTTAAGTAGCAAGGTAAGACCTTAAATCCATGTGTTCCTTGCAGACAAGAAAAGCTTAGACCCCTTCAACATGCAGGTTCACTACAAATGATCGCCAGCAGCTGCTGAGATTATTGCAAAGTCTGAGTTATCCCACCTGATCTGTTCTGTAAGCTCTTAATGTTGAAACTAAACCTATACTTTTGGGTATGCAGGCTAAAAACATGGCTGATTACAGGAGCTACCTGTGATTCTATATATGTATTTCTTAATTTCTTTTCAGAAAACATTCTCCTTAGAAACATGCTGATTAGGAGAGCAAATTTAATGAAGCTTCCATTAATAAACTAAAAAAGAGTTGTAGAAAAGGCTTCTCAGCCTTTCTGTCATTTCACTCTTGAAGTGTGTGTAAACTCAGGCATGTAACAAAGGATGCTGTACTGATAGCTTTTGAAAGTAGTTCCTCTCTATTTTGCACTTGTGAGAGATTTACCTCTCTTACCCCTTGTTGTAGGATATTCAGAAAAGAATTGTAACACTGAGTAAACTGTTTTACTGTTCTCAATTGCTAAAATGACTTTTTTCCTTTCACAGGAACCTTTGTAATCATGGATCATACTTCCTAGCAGCAAATTCAAGCTTATGTGGCTTAGCAGCAAATAATTTCTTCAGGAACATCCTAAATATCAGAAGGGCTTCCTTGGTGTCCGCTGTGCCAATGGCTGTTATTCCATTTCTTTCAACAGCAGCAGTTTATGAAGTTTTTGTGCGCAACCCTTTATTTTCAGGTAAAAACCTCTTTATTCCTTGTTTTCAAAAGGGCTTTGCTTTCCATCCACAACATAACACTAGAGGAGCTTTTCTTCCCTGCAGAGCAGTGCTCTTGAACTGTTGTGGTCTTGAAAAACCTCAGTTTGTAAAGCAGGGTTTGAAAAACAATGCATTGGGCAGCAGTGAGTTCTT